CGGCCCGCCGCGGACAGCGGGCGGAAGGCCCCGTGCCGTCGCCAGCCTCCGCTCTGCCAGATACGGGATGTAAACGTGGTGGTTCTCAGCGCGCACTCGGGCGCGCCTGTGTGGGAAATGCCTGTGCGTCGGTTTTAGGCGCACTGCCCAAGCGAGATTAATTAGCCTGGGTGCTGCCATACTTGGCTGCACGTAGCAGTAGTCCAGACTAACGTGTCCGTATTTACAGTCCCTAAAATACTTCTGGCAGCACCAAAATGCATGGAGAAAAGCCTAGAAGGGAATACTGAAAATGTAGGTCAAGGCTCTCGGACGATTATATTTGGGTTTTTAAATTTTTTTTTTAATTTATTTCCCTGTTTGCTAGTGTTGTTTCTGTAACGTAAATTATGCATGATTATGCAAGAGAAATAGCCAAAAGCTAGTTTGATAAAACCAAAGCTTGTCCCAAAATTACAGGGAAAGACTCTAGACAATGGATACAGTGATGACAGTGAAGTATAACATTTCAGACAGACTGCAGAGAGACCCAGAAGTAACTTAGGAACTCATCTGAAACTTTGAGGTGGGAGCAATTTGGTTATCAACGTTATCAGCCACACGCTGGCAGCTTATTGTTTCTAATTCTTTCCTATCCATTATCTGTCTGAGTTGGAGGTGTTCATTCTCTACCACCTTGCAGCTAATGATACAGGTAATCTGTATGAGGTGGTAAGAAAGCTCCTCTTTTGTTTTTTTTTTCTTAGTTTTCTGCAGAGAGGCAGTGGCAGTTTTACCCCTGTCTTGCTAGGTGGATAGATAAGTCTTTACTACGTTTCGGGAGTCACTCTTAAGGCCTGTATCCAGGCCAGACTGCCGTGCTACGTCATCCCAATAGTGTTGCCGTATGACTAGGCCTAGATGAAGGCAGAGGCTGTGCCTAGAAGCACGTGTGACTCAGTATATTAGTACATTGCTAGGAAAACCTGAAAAAGCTGTTCAAAAGACTGCCGTCTGAAAAGACTGTAAAGGCAGAGGCACTTAAGAACACGTCAGGCTTATGGTTGCCGTTATGCCTGCTCTTCAAATGCTATATAAGTATACCTAGTGACTACTGCTGTTATTATTTAGAGCAAAGGTTTCAGTCCAAATACTATACAAGAGCTAATATGGAAAAGATCTGTTGTTAACATCAAACAAATGCCACCAAGATCTAAGCATAGTGCATGTTGTTTCATATATATATATATATCTATAACATGGAAAATCTGTGGAGCAGAGGAGAGGCAAAAGGGCGAGAAGGGAAAAGTACATGCTTACAGAAACCAGCAATTTGGTTATGATTTAGAATGGTTTGCAATTAACTTATTCTATTTAGTAAACAGATTAATTAAGGAGGAAATTAACATAATCCCTAGAGAAGTTACAGTGCTTTGTTTCTGTGCTCATTATCCAGCACCTGCCACTTGAGTACTTTAAACTTCCAGGCAGATATCATTGAAGTCTGTTTGAATATGACCTCCTTTGTTTTGATATCAAGGTGATCTCCATTTCATTTCTTCAAGAAGAGGTTAAACTAAATATTCTTTTTGAAGTTGAATTAGAATGTACAGTGGGAACGGAAAAAGTAATGACAGTATCTCGACTAGGATCAGACAATGGCTGCATTCAAATAAATACACCTATTCCATTCCTGTGCTTTGCAAGATCCAGAAAATCTAAGTTCGCTATATGAAAACAGGTAAAATCAAAAAGTTTTCAAGAGCTAGTGATAATAATTTATGTAAACAACAAGGATTGAGCACTATCCAGTCTAATAATTAAAGATATGCAAATACAAAGCAATTAAAATACACTTAAACCAATGTACTCTGACATTTAAACTGTGATGAAAATCAGCAAAAGTCAAATGTTTTGATTTAAAGTAATCCACCTAGAGGCTGCAGCTTCATGATTGACTTAGGTTTATCTAATTCTGTACCGACACCTAAACAGGCGGTTACATTTGAGCTTTCTCCATTGCTTTGTATGATTGCTAGCACTTGCATTCCTGGACAAATGTAAAAAACATAAGTACAATTTACCTATGCTCTAAGCTCGCTGGATGAGCCTTGTTAGCATGTTGGTGTACCTTAGCCAATAAGTTGGAGAGAACACTGTTAAGTAGTAGCTTCCAGAATTAACTTCCCCTATACCTAACCACCTCAGAAATGAACATAGATAGCTTATGTTTGCATGTACCGTAATGAATAGTAATATAACAGTTTATCAGTTTGGCAAAAGGAGAGTACTTCTACTGCCCCTAAGTAGATTCGAGGGGTAAATGGCCCTCGAAGAGAAGGAACTACTGAAGGAACAAAGTAAGTAGATTCGAGGGGTAAATGGCAGGAAGAGAAGGAACTACTGAAGGAACAAATCGGTGCTGAAAAAGAGGGCAAAGGAACAAAAGCTACGTACAAACAGGCTGAAAATAGGAAGGCTTCTAAAAATGGCTTTCAGGTGGGAGCCGTAAGTTTAACTTATGCTTAAGACATGGTGTGATATGTTTAGGAGAGATTAGGTAATGGTTACTTGGGATCTCAGTTGATAGTATTTTATGACCTTAGATTTCTTTTCCAGTAACATGCATTAAGTGTCACCAATGCAGCCTACCTCTCTCTCTTTTTTTTTTTTTTTTTTGGAACAATTACCATGCCAAAAGGTAGGCAAGGCAAATAGATTTTGGACTTGGGCTGGTAAATTTTCCCAGATGGTCTTGCATGGCTAAGTTAAATTATTCCAGCTGTCCAACAGTTGGCTTCTGTTTATGATAGATCATCAGTCTGTGAGTGTTAAACATCTCTCAGAAACCTTAGATTTCCGTATGGTATCTAAACTATGAAAGCTCAAGGAGGAATCTGTATTTACCTAACTTTTGGCCTTTGGGTGTCCCAATGAGGAGGTTAGTTGTCCTAGATTTCTCTGCAGTCAATGTAGAGTCAGAGACCCTTCCAGAAGGCACATCAGTGCTCATGTAAATGCTCTGACTCATTTCCTGGAGGAGCCTCTGCTGATAAAGAAAGCTAAAGTTCGATGCCTACTGTTAGGCAATATGATTACATCCCTTGATGGCAATGCCAAGTAAAGTGGTAAAGATCTCCTCCCTACAAAGGATGCGTTAAATATTAGTCTGTAAGGGACTATTGTTTAGTTACAGAGTACAATGATGGTAGGACTATAAAAGAATATCAAAAGTATTAAGTAATGCTTTGGCAAGATGTACTTCCAAGTATCAAGAGCAGCTGAACCTTTGAAGAGGAGTTGTGGTGAGATCAGACATACTGAGATCAGACATACTGGTACCAGTGTGGTGCTTATGTCCCCACCTGTGACTCACCCAGCTCACAACTGTCTGTTAAGACTGCTACACTCAGTTTCTCCCAGAGTGGAGGCATGTCTGTCACTCTCCACCTTAAAATGCTTTGTAGTCCAGGGGAAAAAGGAAACGCTGCACTCCGTCTTCCCCAAAGCCTGCTGTGAACTTCCCGATCTTTCTGTACTCGTTGACTTAATGCGTCAAGAAAATTAAATATTCTTTCTCTTCAAAAATCTGTTAATTCATTCATGAAGACATATATTATTTAAAAAGTCACATATTTGAGGAGATGCAGTTTTCAAGACTATTATTCATTTCCAGGCTGCATATATTATTGGTCAATTTATATTCAATGCTGCTTTCTTGCTTAACTAGCCCTTCTGTTTTTGGATGCTTGCCTTTCTGTGTAATTGTACCTAGCAAAAATATTCTCTTCCACTTTTACTTTGTAAACTGTACAAGCCAAGGTCATAAGCTGGCAATGTGATGATTTTCTAGCAATAAGAACTCAAAAAAAAAAATCCATAAAGCATTCTAATATTAATTGTGATTGCTTTAGGTTTTTCAGTGTGACATGAATTAAAGACAAATTCTGATGTTTTGGCCCTCTAAAACTTAATTCAATAGTTTGATGACGTTTCTGTGAGTCAGAAATTTCTGAGCTTATGACTTGGCTGTGTTGCTGACCTTTTATATGTTGATGCTGTTATTTAATTATTAACTCATAAAGCAAGAGCATTCTCAATTTGCAGTGTTTTGGATTTTGCACATATTGTGTAAGGGGTAAATATTCTTCATTCACTTTTAGTAGAAAAAAGCCTCAATAATATACACCTATGACACTATTTATAAATACCACATAGTATTTTAAAATTACAGCCTATTTTCACTCCATTTTCAAGTCATACTAATAGGGTTGTCAAGCAAACAGTCACCTGATTGAAGACTGTGGAGTTTTGCTAACTGGAAACATATTTTTTAATTTAAATCCAAGCATAAGCAGTCCTGTTAAAGAAGTCAGATGCACTAAAGTAGGAATAAAAAGAAACCATACAATACAGACATTAGTTGCCATGGTTAGAGAGCCAGAGGGACTCTTCTTCTAGCCTCTCTGAATGTACTCTAGAAGTGCTCCATCACCTTTTTCAGGATGTAATCTCTCTGGACTAAAAGCGAAATCCCAAATGAGGCAGAAAGCTCCCTAAAGACTCATGGAGCTCAGGCAGGGGCTGACGTTCCTGTGCTAGGTTCTCCACTTTGGTTGTGGAGCAATCAAGCTTTAGAAATTCACAATGGAGGTTGCAGACAGCAGGTGGACTTAGGAGTTTTAAAGGAGGAATGTGTATCCTTTTAACTTCCAAACTTCTCCACTAGAAAATACTCAGGGGGGCAGCCTTGACTAGGTTTCACTTGAGATATTAACCAGGTTAATTAGGATTATTTCTAGGGGTAAGAACCTAAGGCAGTCCTACTGTTGGGGCCACAATACTTACCTACCGATTAGAATGCTTCGCCAGTTGAACTAGATTCTGCACCTTATATTTCTAATATAAAAATTGTTTCACTTTTCGCTGTTCTTCTTTCACACAAATCCTCCAGGCACTTATGCTTTGAGTCTTATATCGCTCAAGCTTCTTAGACATTCTAAATAAAGCCTGCATTAGGAGATGCAGGTTCCACATGAATACCCTGTTGCACCTCTATAAACTCTAGTGGGATAGCTTTGTTCCTGAGCAAGCAACAAACACCACCACTTCCCTGCATAGGCATGTGCATTCTAGCCACCAGATTCTTTCAAAATCATAAACAGGCAACAGCTGACTGCTACCCTTCTAAGCAAACATTG